GTGTGAATCTATAGAGATTCTAGGATATACGATCTCCCTAGGTAACATAATATTTCATATACAGTTTTTTATTTTACAGATTGTATGCACTAATCTTCGGATTATGATGAAAATAATTTATAAAAAATTTGAGAAATTTTTTTTTATTCTTCTGCTGCGTATGTGATGTCGCTCCTAGAATTCCCTATAGTGGTGTTAGAGCCAGGTCATTCGTATGAAAGATTGATTTTGGATGGGTATACAATACACCAATTTGTCCGATTATCTCGATGTCCCTCTTGAGTAACCTATGACCAATATTATTTAGGGTCTATGTTTAAAGATGAATCGATCTCATTATCGTGATCTCATCATGATCTGATTCCTATTGTGGATATATATATATATATATATATATATATATATATATATATATATATATATAATAATAATAATAATAATAATAATAATAAGTGATAAAATATCAAATAATATAATAAGAAAAAAAAATGTGTATCATGTCATACGTACTATCACTCACGTGATTAGCTTGCAGGGCACCTATGACTAACAACTCCAAGTTAAGCACATTCCGATACGAACGTTTCTAACATATATGCCCTCGAGAGACTTGACCAAGCATACCATGTCCTCAGGTCACCAATGACATCTCTATGTTGTAGGCAATATATCGAATCATAATATAGGTGAGCCTCAAGGGACTTGACCAACTCAATCTACGTCGAGATTCGATTTCTTTCTATAACGATAGAAGGTCACGTGGGTAAATCTAATTGTCTCATATATACCGACTTAATATTATCATAGGAGAGGATTTTGATTTAATATCTTAATATAACGTGTCATACATATATATATTTAATATATATTTACATCATATGATATATATACTTATATAGTGGGTGTATAACAATCACATGCATAGACATCCCAAATGATCATAGACCACAACTTAATATGATCAGACCCGAGCCAGTAGGCTCAATCACTTACATCATGATCTATGTGTGCATCGACGCATCTCCATACCCGGTAATCATCCATCTTGTCATCGTCGGATCTGCTGGCACCTTGACGCATCTCTATGCGTTGCGATCGTCCGAATCGATCTTGAGGATCCTACTGCCACCTCCAAGCTTCCGTTGCGCCTCTTCATGTAATTATAATATAATTACAAATACGTAGGCCCCATAATGAACAAAAAAAATGGAGACTCATAGGCCCCAATAATAATAATCACATCCTCTCATATAATACACTATATCCTCTCATATAATACACCATGTAGGATTACTAAATAAATAATAATAGTTAATTAAAATTTTTAATTAACTAATATTTTATGAAATTTGGATATACAAGGAATTTTTGAATTATGAAAGGTATTTTTATAATTAGATAAAAAGGATAAAAGTTAAAATTTTTAAAATTCAAAGGATAAAATTATCCTTTTATCCAAAAAAAAAAAAAGCCCTAATCCCCTTGTGGCGATCACAAGCCGACGCCGATGCAGTGGCCGCAACTCCTTGCGGTTCCCGCATTGCGCTGGCAGGCGTTAGTGCGGCGATCGCAACTTATTGCGGCTGCTGCCTTGTCGCTGGCGGTCGCTAGTGTGGCGCCACTATGCGCAGAGGCGGTTACCGCCTCGCGTGCAGGCAGTTGCCTTTGCGACGCTGGCTCGCGCACAGGTGGTCACATTTGCGACGTCACCTCATGCCCAGGTGGTTGCCTTCTCGAGCGCAGGCGGTCGCCATTGCGTCGCCGCCTCATGCGTAGGCGGTTGTTGCATTGCACATAAGCAGCTACTGCCTTGTGCGTAAGTGGCTGCCGTGCGCAAGGCAGCCAATCCGTAGGCAGTCGCATCACAGGTGGGTGTCGCCTTGCCTGCAAGCGGCTCACCCACCAGTGCTGTGCCTGCGGGCACCGCCATTGCGGGCTAGCGATCGCCAATCGACGTCGCCTTGCCCGTAGGCAGCCTGCTTCCAGGTATTCTGCTCATAGGTGCCGCCCTTGAAGGTCGCCAACTGCCAGCCAACATCGGCTTGCCCGTAGGCGGCCTACGTGCATGCAGGCAAGTTGTGCCCTTACAGGCAGGTGCTACCCCTGCCAGTGAGCACCTTGCCCGCGGGCGTTGCCTCGGCGAGCAAGTAGTTCCTCCGCAACTCTTGCGCATGCATCACCTTCGATTGATCCATCGAGCAGCAACAATTGCCACCTTGTTTCCTTCATTTACATTAACAAATTTGACGTTGAAAGACTGCTCTAAAGACAACAAGATAAAGAATCTGAAAACTACCCCAAACTTAATAAGAACGTGTAAAACAATTCTACACAATTAAACACAACACTAGTTTACAAGCTAATCATTGCATGAAGAACTTGTCTCTGATACCATTGAAAAATCATTGATCGACATCTCATGTACAACGAAAAATAAAAACAAAATCAAAATTTATAAAGTACTTGATTTCTATATGATGATTGGTGCACAAGAAAATTACAAAACTGAAAACTTCACATATCATGTGAATAACCTAGAGAGATCATATATAACTGAAAATTTAAGATCTAATGGAGAGGATGAATGAAAACTTGCATACTACAAACGCTCCTCAAGCTCCTCAGATTGTCTGATCTATAGTAATGATCCATATGACAGACGCAACGATTATGCTCCACAGATCGCTGCATGATCTCCCTCTCCACACGCACCATAAGACTACCGGAGCGAAGGAAGAGGAGAGGCGACCACCAAAAGATCTAGTCTATGAATTGTGAGGTTCATCCTATTTATAAAGGTGCAAGCAGCTTAACACTTAATGGATCATATCATTGGATCTCTAACTAATTATCTAATTTGATCTTATCTATAAGATCTAAATTAGGGGCTCCGTGGATATCTCATACATGTACCTCTACTCGTCGTAACATCCACTATATATATGTGACCCTCTAGGCCCAATACCGAGCTGGTCGTCGACCCTATCATAATTCCTTCTAATATAATAAATTATTAACATTACACCTATGTGGTATATTATTTTTTTTCAAAAATAGTGAATCACCTATTAGAATTTTTTTTTTCTAAACCAAATTTTTTACATATATTGTTGACCTATTTAGAAGCTTAAATGCAAAAAAACATATCATGGATGCATTATGATTTGTTAGAAATAAAAAAATAAGAAGAAAATAGTAAAAAAGGCACATTGTTCATATGCTAAAAAATCATAAAAAAAATTAAAATATAAAACCAATGACATATGTTCATAAGTGTCCTATTCAAAGTTTTCTAAATATTTCAGATCATTTTGAATAGTGCATATATGTGGTATATTATTTTTTATATTTTCTCAAAAATAATGCATCACATATTAGAAAAAAATTTTCTATACCAAATTTGTAATATATATTGTTGACCTATTCATCAGTCTAAATATGAAAAAATATTACATAGATGCATTATAATTTAAAAATATATATAAAAAAGGAGAAGATAAAAAAAATATTATTTAGATGCTAAAAATTCCATAAAAATATAAAAGAAGTCTCTAAATTAAAATCTAGTGACATATTCCACAAGAGTCATATTCAAAGTTTTTTCTAAAAATTTGAGATCATTTTGAATAATGCATCCATACAATGAACTATTTTTTATTTTTCCTCAAAAATATTACATCACCTATTAGAAAATATATTTTTCAAGACCAAAATTTTTACATATATTAAAAGCCTATTTAGAAGCCCAAATGTGAAAAAAATTACATGGATGCATTATAATTTGTTAAAAAAGAAAAAAAAAGGATGCATTGTTCAGATGCTAAAAAATTATAAAAATATCAAAAAAATTATAAAATAAAAAACCAATGATATATGTTCAAAAGTGTTCTATTCAAGGTTTTCCTAAAAATTTAAGATCATTTTAAACAGTGTATCTATGCAATGCATTATTTTTTAATTTTTCTTAATAATAATGCATCACTTGTTAGGAAAATATTTTTCTAGATCAAATTTTCTACATATATTATCGATCTATTTAGAAGCCTTAATATGAAAAAAAAACATTGCATGGATGCCTTATGATTATTTCGAAATAAAAACTAACATATTGTTTAAATACTAAAAAATTCATAAAAATGCCAAAAAAAATTAAAATGGAAAACCAATGACATATGTCCTGTCATATTCAAAGCATTATTAAAAATTTAAAATTCTTTTGAATAGTGCATACATGCAGTGCATTATTTTTTAATTTTCCTCATGCATCAATTATTATGAAAATTTTTCTCTGACTAAATTTTATATATATATATATATATATATATATATATATATATATATATATATATATATATATAGGATCTCTTTACAAGCTCAAATGTAAAATAATATTATATGGATGAATTATAATTTATTAAAAATAAAATAAACAAGTAAATAATGGTACATTGTTCTAGATAAAGATTTTATTTTCATAAAAAATACTCAAAATATTGATAGTAAAACAAAAAGTTTTCAAATCATTATTTAACATAGTAAACGTCAATACAACCCTAGAACCCACCTTATAATAATGATACTGATAGAATAGAAGCCCAAAGAAGTTGATATCATTGGCGATGGAATTCGACACTTGTAGATAAAAAAACTCAATCCTAAACACAATAACACAAAAAGTCAATAATGGTTTGAGGTTGTGAAGTATACTGAGGCAACGAGGGTCAAATAGGAAGTAGTAAAAAATTAAAGATCATACAATACAGGTTGTGTCAATTAGTAAAAGTAAAACAGACAGAGATGTATAGCATATAATAAAAGCATTGGTTTAATTTAACTTAATTTTTTTTATCTGATTTAATGCCTTGTGAATTCAAATGATTTTTTAAGATTAATATTATTTTTTTAAAAAATAAAAGGTGCCGTTTATATATATATATATATATATATATATATTTATTGGTGAGGAATTCACCAATATGATATTTATGTTGCTATTCGCCTGTTTTTGGTGGTTTCTTGAACCCACAGGGATTGAGCAGCAAAGAAGCACATGGAGGCGTTAAAGAGGGCGGTGATCCGAGTAGCCGCCACCCCGGATGGCCGCCTCCAGGAGCTGCCGTTCCTCCAACGCTCCCTCCTCCTCCCTCTTCTCTCCTTCGCTTCCTCTCTCTTCCGCCTCTCCGTCGCCCTACGCCGCCGTCTCTACCGCTTCGGCCTCCTCCCTCGGCACAGGCAGAGCCTTAAACCCTCGATCCTCCTCGGTTCTTGTTCCCCTTTCTCTCTCTCTTTTCGATCTTGTGAGTTTTATGATCTTCTCGTTTTTTTTCCTCTTCCAGGTTGCCGGTGCCGGTAATCAGTGTTGGCAATCTGACATGGGGCGGCAATGGGAAGACGCCCATGGTGGAATTCATCGCCCGGATCTGTGTCGAGGCCGGAATCCCGCCTCTTATCCTCACCAGGGTAATCTTGATCAAGAAGCTTGGTTTCTTTAAATACCTTTATGTTATTTATGTAAAGCGTTTCCGTGTTCTTGTGGATCTGCAAAATGGGTTCTTTTGGTAATGATCCTTGTCAGGTGTCAGTTAGCTAAAGCATCGGAGTTGTCTCTAGGGTTAAAGAATATTATTGTTCACGACGCTAGGCACTGGTTATGAATACAAACTCATTCTTTGACACAGAAATGATGTGTGCTTGATGAACCAGTGACGATTTTCGAAGCATCTTGAAATGTCTTCAGTTGTTGCTTATTGATTCATTTCTTCTACCTCAGCCGTGATGCTCTATTGAACGTGGAACCAATTAATCATCATGTTGCTTGCATTATTTTTCGTCCAGAGCTTGTCAGATTACAAATGTTCTGCTTAAATATGGAACTGATATTTGTCTTTCCAGAGAGAAGTTCCTTTTCTTCTGGAAACGAAATATGATCTCTAAGAACAAAGGCATCGACGGTGAAGCCGTGGCCTAACAAGGTGAAGCTTTATGGTTTCAGTTTCAGTTTCAGCTGAGGGATTGGAGATTGTATTGTTGGATGTAGATTATTCGACATTCTGGTGCTTTAGGCATGATTCACCAAGGCCTTTTTCCTTCTCTCTTTTCTGCTAACCCATAGTCACAACTCACAACCTACAAAGGGAGGGAATAGACCAAAAACCTTAGCCATTGGTGAGAATTTCGTTCAGATCTTCTTCTGCTACTTACTGTCGTAGCAAGACAAAGGAAACCTTTTTCTATACTTTCAATTGCTTAGCTTAGCTTCTTCTGGGATCAACAGGCAGCAAAGCTGTAAAGTTATCTCAGTTGCAAGCCCAGGGCCTAAATTGCTAGATCTGCTGATAATTTCTTTAGAAACTATTTAGAAAAATTAACTCATTGAATAAATCGTAATGTTGTTATCTGATTTGTTAATTTTTCATACTTTTTGGTGCCTGATATCAGGCAACAAAATCGTAAAGTTAGTTTAGTGGCAAGTAGAAGGTGTACATTTTTGGTGCACATGATGTGCTTATCAATTACTCAAGAAGCTGCTTAGAAATTCTATTTTCTTTTTGAACTTTCCTTGATTCTTTTTATCTGCCAAACTATTGGACACTGTCTTTTCATTTTCCACTTCCTTTGTTATTAATGTGGGTTCTGGTATTATGTTTGTAATTAAGTAATTTGATGGCTCTCAATTATAGATATCACTTTGTATGCATTATTCTTTGTTTAATAAAGAAGCTTGGCCTTTGATAAAGCTAAAAAGCAGGAAAAGACCATGTAGCAATGCACCCTATGGCTTGTTATTTTTCTTAGACAAATGGTATGCTAATTTAAAGACAAATCAATGGGACGGATAATGTTCATTTCATCTTGTTCTTGGGTTAAACAGTATCGAATTAGGAATTTGATGCATAGGCTGTATCGCATCAAGATCGTGTCTTCAGCGTTGCTTCCTTTGATGAATCATGTCACTGGTTCTGTTTATGAGATATTATTTTACCATGACATAGTGGTTATCATCTTTGCAGGGCTATGCAAGTGGTGATGAAGCTAAAATGCTTGAGAGACATCTTTCAGGGACTTCTGCTAGGATTGGTGTAGGTGCAAACAGGACTGCTGTTGCAGCTTCTATATTTGAAAGGCATGGATACGTGAAATTTGAAAACACATTATATTCAAAGAAACTCTCAAATCCTCACGAGTTTGGATCTGCATCAGAGAATGGAAAAGTTGGTGTTGCCATCCTGGATGATGGAATGCAGGTATTTATTTGTATTGTGCTATTTCTTATATGCATTCCAACAACTTTTCCAGATAATTGATAAGGAACCATTTGGTTGGTCGACCATTGGTGCGGCCCGTAGGCTCGCGAGGAATTGTCCGTTTTATGTACCCGCACGGTTTTGCCCTTTCAGAGCTCGTGAGTTATAAAAGGCACCTCTGAGGGTAAGGGAGATCTGGTGGATTTATGAGCCCTTGGTTCCCATACTCTTCAACCAATATGGGACTAAATAACTTTATCAGTGCTCCCTCATGTAGGGGAGCCAAGGTGCATGGCTCGGGAGCGTGTTTGCTCAACCGAGGTGCAGGCCTCGGGCCCTCTTTCTAGCGCCAATCTGATAAGAGACAATTTGGTTGGTCGGTCATTGGTGCAGCTTGTAGGCTTACGAGGAATTGCTCGTTTTGAGTGGTGGGTGTAGCCGTACGGTTTTGCCCTTTCAGAGCTTGTGAGCTCTAAAAGACGCCTTTTAGGATAAGAGATACCCGGTAGACTTATGAGCTCTTAGTTCTCATACTCCTTAACCAATGTGAGACTAAATGACCTTATCACTAATATCCCTGAAAATTATTTTTTTGTTATTATCCTATTAAACATTTGAAATCATGATGATCTTATTCAGACTATTTTAAGCTTTGTACCTTATCTAGGCAACATAGTTAGGATTACATCCTCTGCTTTCAAGTAGGTGAATATGAAACACAATAATTTTCTGAAACCTGATTGTATCAGGTTATTTATCTGATTAAGTATGTTATTATTGATAACATAATCTGTTCTAACTTAATGTCCTCTTGTGTCTTTTGATAGGCAGCATTGGAGCATGTTGTGTGATGTGGAAATTGTTATGTTAAATGGCTTAATGCCTTGGGGGAACAACCATTTGATTCCGCGTGGGTCTTTGAGAGAACCACTGGGTGCACTTTCTAGAGCGGATATCATTGTAGTTCATCATGCAGATTTGGTATGTATCTGTGATCTGTAAAAGTTCTGCCTCTAATGTGTACTTGGTTTGAGGTGGAGAAGAAGCCTCCTAAGAGCTAATAATTTTTCCAAGTTATATTTAGTTGAAGAAAGATAGACAATAGTTTAAGCATGAGCTTTAGAGGCTTACATCCACATGTACTTATAGGTTACAAGCCTCATTCTCTTACTAGACTCCTAACTCAACTTTGTCCGAACTTCACATTATAAAATAAGAAGCTGAAAATACTTTAAAATTTCTTCCTGTTAATATGTGTCGCTGTCAACTTTGTCCCACAACCTTCATTGTGGTTGCCTGCTGCCAGGAAAGGCCTGAGTGCCCTTTCTGCTTACTTATTTTGGTCTCTATTGCTTACCAAGCTTGCATTAGATTGCAGATACCTTTTTCAGCCTTAAGTGAAGCTTCATTGACTACTTTGCTCTTTGCAGGTATCTGATGGGCAGCTTAAAGTCATAAAGTCAAAGATGCATACTGTTGATGCATGCCATGCCGTATTTTTCACTAGATTGGCACCATCACACTTTTTTGAAGTCAAGAATCAGCACTCAACATTGCCACTCAGTGTGGTGCTTAACAGGGTTGTACTGTGTGTTTCTGCGATTGGTTTTCCAAATGCTTTTGTCCAGGCAGTTGGGAAGGTTGTCCGATATTTTCACTTTGGTTCAATTGGGGTGTTCAATATAAATTAAATATTATTTTGCCAAATATTTATTATATTCTAAACATGTAACAAAAGCATTAATGTTTATTTATTGTTCGAAGTTTCTTTTGAAGCCGTATTTGTTCTAAAACTATCAGATTAAATAACTCCTGGTTGCTGTATTCTTTTTTAAAGTTCTCGCCTGTCTTTTGCAGATTGGGCCATTGCTTGTTGATAGGTTAGACTTCGGTGATCATCACTCCATTCAATTAAATGTGAGTATCTTTTTTTCCTCTCACTGTTGCTGTAAATATGTATCTGTAAGATTTATTTTGTCAGTTGCTGAAGAATTGGTGACTTGACAAAAAGTAATTAGCATCTGCTAGAGAATCTATTGAATGTTAAAATTATGAAAGACTTCCAGGTGGTTTTCTCCATATATGGAGGGCTACTAAAGCAAATCATATGGGGAAACCTACCAAATAATGAATTGACTATATGATGAAGAAACCAGGAATTAGTTTTTTATTATGAAGTGGTACATGTAATGAAGTAACAGCCATACTGCATGATACATGTTGGTACTTATTCCAAACCCAATTAATTGGTAACTAATCAATCTTAAACCGGTTAGGCCGGAATGGGTACCCAAGAAACCTTACCTGCTGTCATCTCTACCCTCCATCTTTCTATTTCCACACATCTCTCTTTTTCAATTTTCTCCAATTTTCCATTTTTAGCCTGTGGCTTGTCTTGGTATTTTAAAATTTTGTGAAACCTGATATTAACTCATACATGCAATCCTTGGTATATGTTATATGCAATAAGATGGAGCAGCATAACATCATGTACCTTCTTTAAAATCCTTTTTTAGGTTGTTAAAATTCTGGAATACAGCAAGAGTTTTGTAAAGCTTGTAATAGGCATTAAAGAGCATTGCTGGTGCATTAACAAAATAATGAAAAGGTGAGTTTTATGCCATCCATGTTTATGAAAAGACAAAAAGGTTGCTATGAAAGATGTTCTGATCTTGTCTGCAGCTCCATTCCACCAAGTGGGATTTCCTATTTCCAAAAGGAAAGTTGTCCTCCAACTGACCTAATATATTATACAGTGAAGGATTCACCAGAATAGTCCTGGTTGGACTCACACCAGTCAGATGAAACCATCCGTGAATTTTTTTTCTTGCAAAGATCAATGTTTATTTCATATTCTCTTGGCACATTGTACTAAATAAATTTATGTAGCCAAGTAACTGAAGGTATATTAGCATTATATAATCAAACCACAATTTCATTATTTTACTTAAGCTCATATTTCACGAACGAAGTTACATAATGGAAGAGAATACATTATATGACATGTGGTACTATAATTTAAAAATTACTGGGCATTGCTATTTTGGATGTTATCCAGTATCTAGGTTGTATGGTTCCAGAAGGTCATGTCATCCATCAGCTAGTGCTAATTGTTGTTTTCTGTGACCTGAGCATTGTGCCATGTGATTCACATCAAGCATTGGATTGTGTGGACACCTTCGTGTGCACAAGATTATATTAAAGTTGTTTGACTAAATATGCTTTTCTGCATGAACATGAATGCTTGGCTTGTGAGTAGAACTCAGGACCTGTTTGGAATAATTTCTTTTTCCTGTCAAAAAACTGAGTTGAAAAATATCATTCATAATGATTGCTAATTCTTCTGACACATGATACTGTTTCAATTATTTCTGGTAGTTAAAAAAAAAGGATTTTTGCTTCTGAAAATAACAAAAGTGTGACTTGTGAGTCATGAGTGGTATTGGTCTCCTAGAAAGACAGTTCATACTTATCTTCTCGGTCCAGTCCATATATATATATATATATATATATATATATATATATATATATATATATATATATATGTTTACGGAACTGTAGAATTGTTGTGGGACTTCAACCATTTGACATGTGCTGAAAGATGCTAATCCTAATATTGATTGGCTACTATTATTTTCTTTCATGAAGTACTTAATGTAGGGATGAGATTACTTCCATAAGATAAAATATCTTAAATTTTATTTTTGCAAGCATGGAAAATATGTGGCATAGTTTCAGTTAAAGCGATTAGTTTTATTTGCTTATTACTTTATATGTGGTTCATCTGAAGGCTTGTTGAATCTCCAAATATATAGGATATTGAGATGATCAAAGAGAGACTTGGCAAACTCAAGGATAGATTCAATACTGAAGTTGTTGCAGTGGTGACGGAAAAGGTATCATTGCAATTTTGATTTACTTTTTTAGTTTTTAAAATCATTCATGGGAGACTGCTCAGAAGGTTTAAGAAACACAAAGAATTGAATCAAAAGCTTAAACTGTCATTTGTTTCATTACTTGGTATCAACCTGACTATTGGGTTATTTTTCTTCTGGTCAGGACTATGATCGTGATGCACTAATTTTAAGGGAGATACACAATTTTGATGTTCTGGTCCTGTGTTCTTCTTTTCAAATCATGCCATCTTACGGACAGGGAGAGGATACCTTTAGGAGGAAGCTCAAGGAGCTGATAATTTCAAAGTTTGGAGGATGAAACATGTTTTTGCTCAAGTTTTCTTCTCTGTTATGTCTCAGATTAGTTAAATCTCAGTAGCACCCATTCCCTCTGCCGGCAAGGACATTCCCTCTTTATGATCCTCTAGCTTGGCCGGTCCTCTGCACACTTGGTGCAGCTCTTGTCCTGGTGGCGGTCTCTAAACAAGAAAAAGAAAAAAAAGAGCAAAATATACAATCGTTGTAATTTAATTTCTTTTTACTGTTGATGTAATTTAATTTCTGGTTGTAGTCATCTAGTGGAATGGTTAAAAGAATAACATCAAAACCTGAACCTGGTAATAAATTGTTATTGAATTGCCTGAGTTATTTCCTAAAGATCAAAGTTGGACAGCCTTTTTTTGTTGTGACTTGAGTTACCCAGGTTTGCGATAAGCAGTGATAGAACTCCATTCATCCAAAGAACCTCCATCATCACAACTTGGAACTCCCCAAATTTATTATCGTCTGATGTTTTGTGAGGCTTTTTAGCGTGTCAGAGTTTTCAATCACCACATGTGAAAGTGTTCCGAGTCAGATGTGCTGCGTACATCACATTGATGAATGTTCGTGGACCTGTCTGTTTCTATTGTCGGTGAGTGATCTTATCGTCCAAGGCGTTTTACACACAACACGAGTGGAGGGGAGGGGAGGGGAGGGGAGGGGAAGAAGATAGCGATTCTGAAAAGCGATTAACTAAGCCTAATACTAAATGAGGCAGTTAATCCACTCTGAGGCCCGGGAAAATTAAGAACAAGCTGCTGTGTCGCACCAAGCAAACAACAGTTAATGTTAGGCTCCCAACAGAAGAAACTTGAATAGCCCACAACGGCCACAGCCATTTATTTGGCAAGTGTAACAACACCTCGCGTGAAACCATTAATTAATTGATTGCTTCTCCTATGCCAGACAGCAGAAGCATCACATCGATAGCTTTCACATCTCAATCGTGGCATTAATACAAGTCCCTTGTCATCGGTGGTGGTTTCCTATTACTCGTTCATACTTACTGTCTTTTACATTCGTCCTTTGCCATGATCAAGAAAGTAATAATACATTATTAGTTAGTTAGTTCGTTAAACTGCTAAAGCAGCGACACGAATGTTGCCAATAAAACGGGTTCAATTACAAGTTGGAGTATTTCTATTAGCAAAAAAAAAATGTATTGTTAGTTTTACATTTCTTATGTCGAAAAATTGTTATGTGAACAAAAATGTATTTACATGCTACACATTTCTTGTACTTTGACTAGACTAATATATCCCTAGTCGTCATCTTAATTTGACAAGAAATTTGGGCATGGGACAAATGGTCCCATCGAAGCTACAGTAATATAACTCTGGCTGGTCGTCTGCTGCTGCTGCTGCTGCTGCAGAACCACACCCCGAAGTAGCAAAAGAAAGTAAAAAAAGTCGAAGCGAAACAAGAAGAACAACGTCGGTAAAGGCTCCGGTCGAGCCCCACCAGCTCCAGTGGTGATAGATAGGCAGGACAAAGGCTGCATCGATGCTCTGAAGCTTGGCAAGAAGCACATGGAAATGGTGTTGGTCACCCCACAGAGAGATGAGATGATGATCCCGAAGAAGTTTAATGCATCCCCCCACAAACAAACCCAAGGCGAGTCACACCTCTTGACTCCACCAAATCATTGTGTCTGTGTGGTCCACCAGGTCCTTCCTTCTCTTCCATCCGATACATCATTGCTGAGGTCTCTCCTTTGCACAACTCCCTACTCGGTATCTTTCTCATTTCCATGTTCATTCTTTCACTCATCTGAATAATGCTCCTGTGAGACAGAGAGAGAGAGAGACAAAATATATGACGGATGACTATTAGGCAACTTTACTGATGATGTCTTCTTGGCTCTATTCAAGATCATTCAGAAGAAGGAAGGATCATCCACATACTCAACTATTTATAATATCCCTAAATGCTTCCCCCTTTTTCTTTGTGGACTCCTAGTACTTTGTCTACATGCATTAGACTCCTAGTTAACAGCAGACATATGACAGATGATTCCTAGGCAATTTTACTGGCTACAGCCAATATAAACGTGTACTGCCTCGAGACTTGTTCATGTCGATGTGGTTCTCTATCAGCTTCGCTTCCTTCATCCTCTACTCTTTCAACATCACCACGAAAAGTTCGTGAGCGGAGAACTACAGCGGAAGAACAACTCTATTACGACTCGGATGAAAGGAAAACCTCATGTTTCTCCCCTCTCTTTCCGCAACTACTCTTGCCTCCATCCTCGGACAATCCGAACTTTGCATGACACGTAGCTCGCGGCAGAGACGCCGATGAACATCGGCGCTACTGATCTGTTTGAGTTCGCCGCCCGTCGTCGAGGAGGAAGAACGAGCACAGGATGAGATAGATCTGAAAGGGACCGGTTGATGACATGGGAGGTATTGGCGTGCCTCAATCTGAAGACACGGCCGGATAATATGCTCGAACGGGCCTTGTCTTTGGATTGAGCCGCGTCAATATCTCCCTCCGTCATACACTCACGTCTGAGGTACGCTTTCACTTTCTTTCTTGTTGAAAGAAGGAGCCTTTTTTTCTGCTATCTCAGCTACACAGATCCATCTTTCTTCTCCTTTGGGCATGTCTTTTAATGCTTTTGACTATGAAACAACGGATTCTCTTCCTTTAAGATTTATCCGAGTAAAATACTTTGGACGCCATCTCTGCAATCATTCAAAACTACGACCTTTGGAAGAGAACACAAACCATACAAAGTTGGCATTTTTAGCTTCCTGACAAGGAAAGCATGTCTTCAGGGTCCGATGATGCCTGCGAGTCAGCAGAAGAAAGATTCCTCTACTTTATTGCTCCCATCAACCCATCACTTCGTAGTAAATGCATAGATTAGTACGGGAATCTAATGGGGAAACTCACAAGGACATGATCATGGGTGTTCCAATCAGCTCATCACTTCACCTGAAGAAGGCCTATCAACAACAACACAATATTAATTAAGCTTGGAGCTAAGGAAAGTCACCAAAGTATTTGGGCAGAAATTATGCATCGAGTAGAAATTTCCAGTACTCGTCCGGCGGTGCATGCAACCCAAAATCTACATCAGCTCAGATTTTTTTTCTTGTCCAACAATGAGTTACTGGTGCATGCTGAAAACTGGAGATTTCGTTTTCTTTCTTTTGACCTTTTTGCTCCTGAGATCGGTGGTCAGGTCAACCCTGTAAAACTTGTGGGGGAAAAGAATGGTAATGAAATCTGAAGAATCATACTTGCGATCAGAAATTTAGGGATGAGAAACTTGTTTTTCATTTTCTAGGATCAGTACTCCCACACACTTTTCTTACTTTGTTAATTTTTTCCACAAATCTTTTACTACTACTTCCAAACAAAATTTGCATTCTCCATTCTTATTAGGTAACAACAAAATCATGATTATGGTAAATGCATTGATCTTGATTAATTTCTAAAAGAAATCTAGTTAGCTTGATACAAAATCTTGATTTTGTTTTCCAAATGGATCTTACTCCAGCAAACCCAATGCACAATACTCCCGACAATGGATGTGTGCTTGAACGCACGTGCGTGCGTGCTTGTGTATGTGTGTGTATGTGTAAATCGTAATAGCTAACACGTTGGATCTCTCACGGTTGCCATTTGAAGATCCATGTAAGACTCAGATTACAAGAAAATAATGGCACACAATTCTTATTGCTGCACTCTTTTAGAAAACACCAAAGCAGAAGATAGATGAATCAATGTGAAAGAATAATAGGAGCAAGTTTTCTTGATGGGATTGGACGATGTAAAACTTACAAGGAACTGGAAACAGGATGTTCATATCCTTCATTAGAGAGAACCCTTTGAGCTTCTAGGAGAGCATTCATCAGCATAAATTTTCGACAAATGAACCTTGATCGGGCCTTGTCTTAGTAATGTATGTAGGAAAATTTCTTTGGAGATATTACAGAGTTATATCCATTGGAAAAGAGCCTAGAACTCGAAGAAATGTAACAAATTCCTGCACAAGCAAAACTATGTTAATGGAGTAACACAATGAAGACCTTTACCTTCCAACAAGAGTCATCATAGACTAAATGGTGAAGGTGCCCTCACTTGTGCACAACTGCAGTCTCAACTGTTTCTCAGTGAACAATAACATGAAGAAGGTGATAGTTTATGCTACTAAAATGATTTTATCAAATCTTGACTAGTGATTTGTTTACAAGTTTACATTCATGACTCCGCTGAAATGAGGAAAAAAAACAACTTGATAAATGTATGAAGAAAAATGAGAAGACCATCCTACATCTGAACTTATTAGTCGTGTCGTTAAACACTAAGCAACAAAAATAGGGTTTAGCAATGAAGAAACAAGGAAAGAAGTAGAAGTTTATCTTTCAAGATCATAAATGATCAAAATTGTCTGCTTAATTCAATATAATATGATATCATTAGATGATGAAATCTTCCTACTTCAGAATGACCAAGACGGACATAAATGGTGAAGGTGTCCTGAAACTTCTGCAGAACCGCCGTCTTAACTGTTCCTCAGTGAATAATAACATTAAAAAGGTTATCGTTTGTGCTAAAGAATGATCTAAAGATGAGTGTTACACTTTTTTTGGGTATTAGGTTAATGCTTTGATATTTCCCACCGGCAATCATTTCCTTCTATTCTAATTTGTGTTTTCGTAAAAGCTGTTGTAATCTATTAATTTCATCCCCTTGCTAATGTTTTCTTTAAAGGATGACCTCATGTCCTTGGACCTAGAAAATGTACCAGGATTTCCAAACTGTTCTTTGGTATGACTTCACACAGACTAGCATATATATATATATATATATATATATATATATATATATATATATATATATATATATATATATATATATATACATATACATATATATTCTGAAATATTTATAAGTGCAGGTAAATGTTTTTCCAATTCACTAATCCCTGGATAAGTAGACAAGCTCCTGCAGGAAAATGTCAGCGGCGACAACAACTTGACAGGGGTTTTCATTGTGATTTCTCAAAAGTGTAAGAACTAAAGTAAGACAGAGAAGTAGGCTTTTTTTTTCTGACCTGTAGGTTGGACAAGGCATTTTGTGCACGGGGCTCCGCCATGGATGCTTCAAAATCAATGTAGAAAAGATAATCAAAGTACCTAAGATGAAAGTTACCACTTAAACCATGGCATACGTACCAAACATTTAATAGATACAATAGTTATGTGTAACCAATTATTTTCCCATAATCATAATAATAATTACATTAAGATGGTAGAGTTGTAAGTACATGCACTCGATCTGCAAGAAAATTGGAGAACAAAAAAGGAAAGAGAATGGAGAACTTACTTGGCAGTACCATGATCTGTATCATCAACAAACCTCAGAGGGCGTTTACGTTGTGGCCTGCTCTCTATCTACAATTTGCAATAAGAAAAATGCAATTAACTCTAACAAATTAGGTAAGCTCTTTAGGCTGGAAATATTGATCTATATGTCAGACCTTTGTCAGATTTATATTTCTAAGAGCAAAAACTGCCAATGCTTTATATAGTACCCCAGAACCATCTTCAAGAGTGAATACAATGCTTGTCTGAAACAATTAGCAAAAGAGTTTGTTTTCATATCACTCCAACAGATAAAAATAAGAGGAAGCAAGTCTGTTGACTACCTTAAAAGGACAGCCAATCCTTGGAATTATGGGTTCCCGAGCCAGAATCAGAAAACGTGTAATATTAAAAGAGATGTCCTGCCATGTTTGTTACAAAATGTTATCATGAACAATGAGAACTCAGAGCAGCTAGAGATGGAACGGCTGGAGGACTCAAAATTCTGAATCAACAGGAGATTGCTATATATGCTAAAATTAACTTGAAAACTATATGTTGAATTATATGGTATGAAGGTGTAATTTGATGGTGAAGCATAATCGACATATATATCTGGCATTAATGATAATCTGATTAAAAAGAAAAGGACGTAACCAATGCATGAGGCTTCCGCCAATGCAGGGTCTAGAGAGGGTCAATGTATGTAGTCTTACCTTGAAATATTTAAAGAGGCTATTTTTGCAACTCGAACCTTGTACCAAGGCCCACCCTCATTAATGATAATTTGATTGCTAATCCCAAACTTAGGGAAGTGCGGCCTTAGATGTAAAATAAAGATCCCAAGTAAACGACTTCCCACATGTATAAATTACTAGTGTTCTAACCTATTACAATTTACAAGCATATTAGTTCCTATTATCTTTCTGAACTTTACTGATAGGCCAAGACTCCAGTACCCTAAGTGACTGCAGAGTTTAGGACCCTTTGCAAAAACATGTCATGTGGTAGTTAGCAAGTTTTGCAAATTGTTCAGCTCAATGTATTAAAAAAGGTGTATGTGAGGAATAAAGAACTGCAAATAGTGCTCCACCTAGTGAGTCATAATTTGCAATACAGACAGCAACGACGATTACACTAGAGCTATGTGGCCAAACTTTTGTGTGGATGAACTGCCATGCTCGAGCAATTGTGTTGCATCATAAGATAAATGAACTTTAAAGCAGCCATTGTTGATGATTGTTCTTAAAAATTTCCTGTCCTAGAATGTACCATAAAATGAGACCAGGGAGCAGTCATGAATATTAATTTGCAAAATAATGCAGCCTGTGTTTGGAGCAGACACGTCTGAATGATTACTAGTGCAGACTGGAGATCCTTTATCTCAAGGTTTTGCAGACTCTTGTTGGTTATGGAGGCTGGTGTTTTGGACACCAAACAAGCAGAAGACATGGTGCTCGACACAAGTTATCATGGCCAGTATGATGTTTGCCAAAAAATTTCATACGTAATCATTCTTTTAAATTAAACTGTAGAGCTAAAATCAAGTTTCACTTTTGAAGAAGTTTTTCGATGTATTTCCTTTATCTGCAAAGGATACTATAGGAATTTGATCTTTAAAATTAGGAGCTATTTGAAGGAGACCCTGCAGGAAACTTCTACTACAATGAGAAAACATCAGATATGTTGTTGCTATTATGAAAGAACAGGATTGCATAGAGATTAAATTGCAAAGAAGAGATAAACAATCAGAGAAAATAGGTTAACAGACACGAAAATAAACAGCAGAAAAGAAAAAAAAAGGCAATAGGAAATTCCATTTGCCAGAGAATCTTTTCACATATGACAAACATCTGAGAATACAATAGCTGCAAGCATCTTTCAATAGAATCAAAAGCAGACACATTTCTGCACACACCTTTCCTAACTAAGACTTGTGGACCCTTATAAGAGTAAATTAACACAAACCAAGTAAAAGTACCTCAAAGATAAGAAGAAAAAGTAAACATAAATTAAGCAGAAGTCATCTAAAAACCTAATCTAGAATCAAAATTGACTTGGTTTATTACAGAGCTAGCAATCAAACAACAGATGGTCTTACCATGCAACTTTGTCGACATGCTAATTCTTAAGGAAAATGTTTGATTGCAATTGGAAGGATATCAAAAGTTGCATTGCATTATGAATATTACCCTAGTTAAAGATCCTGATGTAATTGGATCCTAATAGATGATTAATAAACCACGAATTTTAATCTAGTTCAGATAATTGTTCTAGCAGACAACAAAAGTGAGTTCACAAGCAAAAAAACCCTCATGCATAGATCAAGTGAAGAATAATCAGCATAACAGAATTTAGACTCTTGAATCAATGACACTGAACTGTACCACAAACAAGCCTCATGGCTGGCTTTTTTTACTTCAAAAAAAAATGAAAGAAATCTTCATTACATTAGATGGCATACATGACACTCACATGTGAACTCAAACTTGAGACTATCACTTATGCAATAATGCACTAACCAACAGAGACAACCTTATGGTTGATATTTTATCGAATCTTGATACAATATATAAGTACCATTCCATATCAGTCTTCTCTCAGTAGACAATAGATTCACAATTTAAAGCTCCAAAAGATGAACAATTTGATAAGAGGAGTCAGACAATAAGATGATGATAGTTTAGAACTCGGTTATGTTCATGGAAACCAGATCATATAGGAAATCCAGATAAGATTCATGTCAGCTTGAGATAGAATGGAGAAACAGATACAACTCACATTAGCTCAAGATAAGGAATTAAGTCAAGTCTATCCTTGGTCACTAGAAGCTGATAGATGAAAAGGGGCATCAAAAGGCCCCAAAGATCTGAGCAGAATATTACTGATTTACGACATTGATAAGCCGTAATATTCCAAGTATTTTAGGGTGATGACTCGGCAGAATACAACTGATATAAAGTTTGAAAATGAGGGATGTCCATCACTGATTATGTAGGACATCCCAGTGTAAGGGCAAGGGTACATAAAACAATTCTTTTGTGATAGAAAACATCAATTACCTGTATCTTGTCCTCAAGTATATGAAGCCCGTATATCTCTGCAGCTTGGGCACTTGCAATTGCTCCAACATCTCCTAAACCTTTTGAAGCTATCAACTGGGAGAATGTTAAGAAAGCTAACAAAATATAGAATCCCCTACACGATACTGATAATTTGAAAAGGCAACAAGTATGGAACAAATGTATAAAAGCATTACCCGAGCAGCACCAGCAGTATCATCAAAACTCTCTCGAATGACGCCTAATTTGCTCAGTGCAATCTCGCATTGCCCAAGTGCCTACAAGTGATATGTTGTTGAGAACCACAAAATCGAGACATATTAAACATCAGACGAATAGATATCAACCTGCGGGTGGCTTAAGACACGTTTTAGCTCCTTTTTTTTCACACCTGGCAGAGCCATAAGACAGTGGTCAACAGCCAATTGCACCTCACCCACAATATGCAAACTATGAGAAAGAAGCAAGTCATGAGTCCGATGATAGCTTCCAAATGATGAATTCTCAATTGGAAGAACTGCTTTATCAGCCAGCCAAAGTTGGACCGCCTGCAAATGAGAGACTAGAGTCTGGTTGAAGATGACATTTTTTTTAAATTTTTGATTAATGTGGTACTTTCAACATGCTACAATCAAGAACCTTGAAAGCAACTTCAAACTGTTCGCATGGAACTGCTTGACAATCTGGGTATACTTTACGAGCAGCAGCCTCACCGAATGCACCTGGGCAACCCTACGCATAACAAGAGAAGAACACCGATGTTTATGCAAAGCTTTAAGAGTCACTATGGAAAACACAAACAGCAGTTAATATACCAAAAGGGATACCTGATATGCTACACGTATGTTAGGTTTATGGCCAGAAACAGAAAGATCTGTTGAAGACAATGGTTCTGCAAATTTAAACGAAAGGGATTACTAAGCAAAATGTCACATAACTTTTATACTATGGCGTATCTTTATCACGGAAGTTTCAATGATGAGTTATCAATGGTACAACAGCTAAAGAAATGGAATCTAAAGTATGAACTATCAGCACTACTGTGACCTTATGATACGTTCACCAATAGACCGAGACATGCCACACACAAATACATAAACACAATAGTAAAACCATCAAATTTCTAACATAAACTGCCTAATATAAATTCACATCTTTCCCTCTCAAGAAAGCATGAAATAGCATCAGCAGAAAGAAACCAGAGTAGGACAGTTTTCATGCATTTCATCACATTGCACTCAAACATCCAAACATTAGAAACAAATCCACCTCAATCTTACTCCACCAATCAGTAACAGCAAATCACCAACGTCCACGCAAGTAGAAAAGGAAAGTACTCAAATCCAAATCGAAAACCCACTTGGGAGCGGGAGCAAACTAAGGTTCTGGTTCCTTACGGACTCCTCCTCGGGAGGAGTTGGAGTCAAGGAGAAAGAAGCCCGCGGCAATGACAAGCTCTCATCTTTCACCAGCTTAACGGACAAACCGAAATGCTTCGGTCTCCTGCCTTGCGCCCTCTCCCGCCTCCAAGCTGGCACCGGCACCGACAGCGCTACCGGCTTCCCATGTCCCAGATCCCTCCAACGCAGACGGCGGGCGCCACAAGAACACGTCCCCGGAGCCTTCAAATCCATCCTCTGCTTCGGGATTCCGAGATTTCAGGGCCCAGATCGCGCCATTTCATCAGAGAGGGAAGATGAGAGGAATTGTACTGGAAACTTAGGCAGGTAGGAGAAAACGGAACTTTTCGATGCGTGCGGATGCTTCGAATGCTACAAATGTTTGAAAGGCTACTGTTGGTGGCCGGCGCAGGCAGAGATCGCTCTTAAAGCGAGCCAGGTGCGGTGCTTCTACCAGTTCAAAGACACGGACGGTGGAACGGCAAATCTTTTGGTTATCGACAAGGATTCTGTCAGCGAATCTTAGGGTTACCTCGTTTACTGTTCATGTCAAGTATCGGTGGGATTAGTGGACAGTGGTCGAGTATATGAGGATGGAAGCATTCAACAGGATTTCCTTCTCGTTAGTTTGAATGCTAAACACAGATGTAATGCGACAATTTTAATGTACGGTAGATTTGTTTTTAAGCCAACGAGCCCTCAACCACTTTTGATGATTTTGGATTCAATAATTCATGATTTACTCTTTTTTCTTTGTTGTTTTACAATTCAAAATTTTCGAGAAGCTTATCATTTAGTAAAAGAAAAATCATTTTCAATAAATATACTCGAGACTCTCATCATCGATCCAATAATACGGATATAAATATATAGAAAAATTAAATACCATGAAAAAAGATGATCACAATCATAATTTGGCTTCTTTTCATTGGACAGAATCTAAAAAAGATTCTGCTACAGCTGTTAAACAGTAACGGAAGAAAGACCAGATCAACTGAATTGCCCAAAGTACATCTGCCCAATTCACTTGCTAATCCACTGCAAGAAGATATGTAGCCATGGTGGAAGCTAAAGATGAGAGTATCAGCAACCTGAAGCCATCATCCATTGTGGTCTATGAAGATACATAATTCTCTAACCACATACTTGCAATCCACATAGGTCATCTGCTAGTCTGGTCTTCGGAATTACCTAATTCTTCCGCGACATGCCCGGCCATAACAAATGATTCAAGCAAAAGATCTGTTGCATTGAGCGATCACCACTCGGTGTGTTTTCCCCTTCAAGTATCTACCAAACTTCCTGCCACAAGCTTCATCCAGTATAGAGGAATTCCACATCGATTAACCTCTCCTTTTGCATGCATCAATTCACAATGGCTGGTTGCACAACATCAATAACTTCCTGCGTGGCGAATTTAACAGGACCAAACATGAAATGTCAAAGCTGCAAAGCCAAATCCGGCTGCTGAGAGTCCTTGAGAATCCCTGAAGAGTGCGGAACAGGAGATCCTGGGGGCTGGAAGCTAATGTTCAAGTCTGGAGGGCAAACGCTCTTAGGATGCCTGTTTTCTGTTTGTCGAAGCAGGCCTTGCTGTGGAGTCTGACCTTGAAATCTGGACATACCGGTTGCGCCTAGTTGTGGGAAGATGACCAGTCCTTTGTTACAAAACTGGGGTTCAGAACCAACCACCTGAATGGGCTGCCTAAAGGCTTGAGACATGGAAGTTGTGTTGGAATCATCAGAAACTCTGGAGGATACCTTTGGTGCTCTCGAAGTAGAACCGTAAAAATATGTAGAAGCAGATGCATTTGGACTGTCACGACCATTAACAGCATTAACTGACGTTTTAGATTGTGTGGAAGCTCCAATGGACATCCATGCTCCAGCTGCAGCAGCATCTGCAGTATTTGGACTTTCTCTACCAGTTGGTGGAACAGCTGATGGCAAAAATTTAGAAGAATCAACAGAATTGTTTGAAATGTTCGACTGGTTAAGCATCTCGATTGGCCAGCCCATTAGTCTTGACGGATGATTGAGGCCATACTCATGTAATGTCTGGTGTTCATCACCCACATTTCCTTTTTGATATTTGGAGGAAAATCCCATGGTATTTCCCAGAATGTTGCTGCTAGATCCACCCAAGACTTTCCCATTACTTGATTGACCAACAGGAACTCTTCCATCAGTTGTACTGCATGGCACCATTGCCACTGTTTGTTTTAGAGGTTCAGGCTGCCCAAGTTTTCTGTCTAATGAAATTCTCCCAGGAGGTTTAAAAGCGGCAACCCCTGTAAAGATTTCAGGCCTTTGTACAGATTGATCTACCAAACTACAACTTGAGGAAGATTGCTGATGTTCTCGGGCTTGTTCCAAAAAGGTACCACTAACCTTGGCAAGCTTAGAGGTCACTTGTTTGTTCTTCTGTTGTAATACAGCAGCATTTGGCCTTAGCTGAGTTTCAGAGATGAAGCTAGGCGACTGTTGCTTCACTTCTGTAAATCCACAAAGATTATTTCCCCCCGTCACAGGACCAGAACCTCTATTGTAAATTGTGGTGCCTAGCTTACTCTGGATACCATAATTTACTTCCCGACTATTTCCATTGGCTTTTTTACCCAATGCAGTTGCTTTATCCTTCAATGGCATCTTGGACTGCAGAGTTGTATTTGTATCTAGTTGCTGATGCTGTAGCTGGGGAATGTTCTCGAAAGAAAGAATAGGAGTTGGAAGTGGTTCATATTCTCCAACCCAACCAGAACCAAACTTAACACCAGAAGGCAATGCACTTTCAATTCTCTGTGAAGCAATTCTCCAGGCAATGGGCCCAAGATTACCAGCAAAACGAGCCAGGCTCCTTGCATACGAGTATTCTGCATCGAGTCCAACCTGATTCAGAAAATAAAAAATCAGATGGGCACGGAAAAACGAAAGACATCAATAAGTAACCTTTGTTACATACAGGAACCAGCTTCCTTTGCTCGCCATCAAGAACATCACAAACCATGCCAGACACCTGTGGAGACTGTTCGTCACATACATTGTAACTAGCACGCCGATTTTCATCTCCCTCAAGTGACTTTTTCCCAAGCTTAGATGGAGAGCCTTTCACTGGAAGAGAAAACAAATTGATAGTAATAGATAAAATGTGAAATAATTCTTCTTAAAAAAGTCAATGATATAATACCCACTTGAATTTAGCCAGATACCACTATGCCCAACAGTTATTCCATTTGAACACTTGACCCACCTTTGGATGTTTACATCAGATAGACTATCCTAAGTTATGAAAAATTAAGTTACTTACAATGTCAATAAGGCACATATGTGGTGATCTGCGATCCTGTACTGCCATATTGAAGTTGTGAATACATAACTTCTAAACTGCACACCAATAAATACTGTGGCGACATGACACAAGACACAGTATCCCCATGGCCTTAACATGGTGTTAGTCTGGTATCCATTGGGCGGATGCAGAACCTGTAGGACTCCTACACTCATGTTGTGTTAGCACCACCCAAGTACCACATTATGGCCACACCGGCTTCCTTTTACATCATTATCAAAGTTCATTTCCTTTGTAATGGCTTTTGATGTTTTCATTTTAGGACCATCTTAGCCCTCTTCTCATAAAATATGAAGGGCATTCTCCTTGTAATCTAATATTTTAGTGTAAGGTGGGTAAAAAAACTGCCATGTATCTAATGAAAGAAATCTTGGGTGGATTTCAGGAAACAAAATGATTCACAGTTAAGTAAAATTATACTATATCACATGGGAACTCTATAGTAACCCAACAAAAAAACATGACTGATTAACATCGACCGAATCGATGTCATCATAGGAGCTATTGCAGGTTACCATCACTGTCTAGTCAATTCACAACTCTTTAAGGATTTTTAGCTACAGCAAGCGATCTTGGTTCTAGAACATCAGATACTTTCAAAAACATCTGAATCATTTAAATAAAGAGTGTAGAAGATCTTCTACCAATATCATAACCTATTGAAAGCCCCTAATTACCATACCTCTAAGGTCATCCACCTTCTCTGACTTACTCTCCCCGAGGGAAGAACTGCCATCAGCAAGACCATTGGAAGTGGTTGCAGGATCTACACCACTAGCTTCTGCTGTGCTCAACCCAGTACAGGGCTCACCTCCAGAAGCAATAGTTGTAGCAGAAGAGATATCAGACACAAAATTTTCTTGAGCAACTCTTGGCGGGCACATCTGTAGCAGTTTTTTCTCAATGGGATTGAAAACAGTCTTCTCTTCACATTTAGAATAAGTTTCCATGCATTTTCCCTCAATTCTTAGCTTCTGAAATTCTTTTCTTCCAATATCTTGCATAGACCGTGCCTTTTGGGGAGTAGGATAAGGATTATTAACAATGATTATGAAGAAGACCATATCTATCTATTTGTCTGAACAATACAGTAGGAGCTCCTAATACCTGTCTGAAGTATATTGTATCTGGTGCATTGTACTGCATGGCATTACTGCAAATCAAGAAGACATCATCCTGCATTTAATAATTAATCTCATAAGGAGACCATATAAGAAACAAAGTTTACAAGGATCAATTTTCTGAGAGAACGAAGAACTTGAATTTTCATTGTGAAAGTTAAAATATATGATAAACAAGTTTGGTCAGTAAGACGGACCGAAAACATGCTTCTAGATCTAAATTATCAGCTGTCCTAGTTGTGAAACAAATGATGAAGGGGAACCAAGTGATATAACAGAAGGAAAAGAAAGAGGAAGCAGGAAAGGGAAAAGAAAAAAGGAGGGTAGGGTGGAGGAGGGGCGGTTGGCTCCAGGAATCTCTCTAGGCCAGGTCAGCTTCTTAGACTACGTGGGAGAAGCATAAATTACAATTTTCTAGCTCTGTCAGCAACAGTTCCTTCACTAGTGTTGGATATATGCTGTATAATTATCTACGATTCTTCTGTGACACAGAATACATGGAAATTATGTATGACTCACCACTGTGGACATGAGCCCTTTCTCTGTGAGTACAAACATAAAACAATTATACAGTCTATCCAGTGTTTTGTGCAAACTTGCAAAATGTATAGTACATAACTGTTTGAAAGGATATAAGTATATATACAATTAGGGGTACCCAAGTGTAGATGTACTTAGGCCCATTTCTTTTCCTGATTACCTTTATTAAGGTTCACTATAAGAATATGGACTAGAGTTTAACAGAGGTTTATCCCATCACAAAGAACCTTTAAGTGTTTGTGCGATTTAGCAGAGGTTCACAAATGGACCCAGTCAATAACCTTTTTTAAACTGATTCAGAAGACATTAATAGAAGAATCGACAGCCATTATCCATCTAACCATCTTCTTTGGTGTTCAATCAGTAACCATGACTTCAATTCCAGAACCTCTAAATCTCTCTAATAAACCAAAGGTTAGTTGTAGTTGTCTATAACTGAAATCCTTTCATTGCTCTTTGGTGAAGTCACTAATTTGCACAAAATAGGGCTTACAGCTGTTAGTATTTGATTTTTCTTCTGCTTAATTCCTCTTGAACAATTCAATTTATGTGTTTGTTTATCCATTATTATAATCTGATAATTTATGCAAATTATTTATTTTC